CTCGGCTCTGGTATCCCCTGCGCCCAGTAGACGCCTCGCCCAGCCAGGTGCCCGGGCGCCTCCACGCAGCAGCGCCATCACTCAGATCCAGGCTGCGCCTGCGAGGGTTCGTGGGGTTTAGTCAGTCGTGCCTTCGTGCAACCAACGTTTGTGTCTCACTGTGCACCGGGGGCCGGGGACAGCTGGGTCCCTGTGCTGGGGACTCCGGGAGGGGCACAGGCCACAGCTCGACGGCAGAAACAGCAAAGCCCTCGAAGCTTCCGGGGCCACGGCCCTGGCCCAGGCGGCCGGTCAGGTCACGGAGCAGGTGACGCTGTGCTGCGTCCCCTGGTCCTAGGGACGGAGACCCACCTGTCGTCGGTCCTGTGGGGCGGGGGAGGGGTGCTCAGGGCCACCCTGCAGCCAGAGCGGCCGGACACACAGGCTCCACACTGGACGTGTTTGGGGGCCTCACGCATGTGACATGTTGGCATTGTCCATGGGCAGCTCCCGACCGGCACTGGCCACCGGGACACGAGGCGCGGCAGGTGTTACACCTGTGGTCTGTGCCCGTGGCGCTGGCCCGGTCACGGCCGGGGGGTCCGGGACGGCCAGGCCCATCGTCCAGTGAGTCCCAGAAATACACCAGCCGGACGCCTCCCACAGCGGCAGGAAAGGAGTCTGACTAAGGAGGGGCAGGGAGGCCTCCCAGGGCATGGCCCGGCCTCACCCCTGACCTTCCTCGAGGCGGAGAGCCCCCCCCCCCCCCCCCCCCCGAGAGACAGGCCAGGCCACCTGGTAAGCAGTCCCCATGGGAAGGTGCTGAGGGTCCTGGGAGCTCCAGCTCGAACCAGCCAGACGCCCCTGGACCACGTCTGCCCAGCGAAGGGGTGGCTGGGGCAGAGACGTGAGTCAGCAACTTCCCAATTTGCTCACATCCCGAAGGCAAGAGGTCCAAGAGGGGAGAGAGGTCAGCGTGGCTGGTGACATCGGACCGGCTTCCTGGAAGGGGGTGGGGACGAGCTGCACTCTGCTGAGGCCACGGCCTACTCGGGGCCTGTCTGGCTCTGAAACTCGGGGACCAGCGCCCCGCAG